GGTGGGGTTATCCTGTGGGGGGGGTGTTTATCAGTTGGGTCTTTGCAGGTTTGGTTCCAGCTTCTTCTTGTGATGATGGGGCCTCCTGCTTTTGAGAGTCTCGTGTCTTTCAGCTGGAGGGGGAGCAGATCTGTGACTTATCAGCCAGTGGGAGGATGGTGGGAGAGGAGGGTCCTTGGTGAGGGTTTCCCAGCACCAAGCTGCAGGAGTGCCGGGGGCTTTCCCCATCACAAAGGGCGGTGCCCATCCTGAGCGGTCTCTGTTGCAGGTGGAGTCACCACCTTTGTGGCCCTCTATGACTATGAGTCCCGGACCGAAACGGACTTGTCCTTCAAGAAAGGAGAGCGCCTGCAAATCATCAACAATACGTGAGTGTCCCTGTCCCTGCAGTCAAGCCCACATGGGTGATCTGCCACCTTTGTCCCACGCCTTTGCTCCTGGTGATCACTGCCCGATTGCCAGCAGTGCCGCCCTTGAAGCCACTCTGCCAAGACACTCATAGATGTGGTGACTTGTCTGAGGACACCAGCACTGGAGGCAATCATTTGCCTGCTCCCACATCCTCCCAGCCCTGTTGCTGGTCACCATTGCCTTGCAGCCTTGTCACCAAGCCACTTCCTCTGCTTGGTGGCCAGTCTGTGCCCTCCAACATGGGGCCGCATCCCCCACTGGTCCCCTGTCCCCATCAGCGCTCAGCTCCCTCTCGTTTGCCTGGACATATCTCCTCACCTTTATGGGTGCTCTCCCTGTGCTTGCATGGTGCCTCTGATCTCAACTTCTCTCTTGACTCTTTTTTATCTCCTCTGTGCCATGCTGTCATTTAGGAGAAAAGTGGACATCAGGTGTGTATTGCAGATTATTACTATTATTACTATTAATTATCTTAAAAGATAAAAGCCTGTCTGCTGCCCATGTTAGGGCAAGGTTGGGTAGAGCAGGGCTGGGAGGAGAGGGTTGCCCAATGGTTTTGCAGTTGGCTGGGTTTGTCCTCCCTGAGCAACTGGGGCAGAGCAGGGAGGCCGTTCCATGCCAAGGAACGGCTCCATCCAGAGATGTGTCTGCACCCAGGAGCTCTGAATCTGGCCTGTTTTCCTTGTCTGCGCCTGGCACCCCTCTGCAGTCCCTTTTCAGTTGGCTCTCTTGCTCCCTCCTGGCCTTTTTTGCATTGTACTTGCATTTTGTAATTTTATTTTTTGTGTGTGGCTCAGGGGACTCAAGCAGTTCCTTAGAGGTCCGGCTCCTACTTGTTTGCTCTCCATCCTGGTCATAGCAGCGCACCCATTGCTTGCCACATGGAGCAGGGCAGCGTGACAAGCTGGAAGATGCTCCTAAACATGATCCTGTATTAAACCCACATCTGGTCTGTCCTAACACACAGCATGCATGGTCTGCAGCATCCTTCGGCTGCACTGCTGGAGGCCTGGCTGGCAGAGCTGCTGTCCCTAGCACTGCCATGGGGTCCCTGGGGTCTGCAGCTCCTGCTGGCCCCTCCACTTCTGCTTTCCAACCTGGGCACCCAAAACAGCTTTGCAAAGTCAAAGGGTGGAAAGACGAGGGAACGTCCCAGGGCCAATATTTCTCCTGCAGTGGTCAGGCAGACTTGCACAAACGCATTTTCAATCTGATCCTTGTTCTCCTTGTTCCGATGCTGTTTAGTAATGGTGATTCATTTAATCCATGAAGTGCAGGATGTGCAGGGCTTCAATGCTGCAGGAAAAGCCTGAATTTGTGCAGTTTGGTGCTTCTTGCTTTCACAGCCTCAGCAGCATATTAGCCCCAGGCTTGGCTTCTGGTTTGGGCTGTTATGAAGTGAGCTCTGCCTGTTGGGTGTCCAGATCGGGCCCATATGTGGCGTTTTTTTTCTTTGTGTCTTAGATCACTTCTGGGGTTTCCATACTTTTTTCCCTCTGCTGCTGTTTGTCAAAGGCTTGGTCAGAGGGAAGGGTCCATGGTGATGGGCTCTGCAGCATCCTGGGGACCAAAGGATGCAGCCCATCAGTGCAGGGTGCAGGATCTAGCTGCCGACCTTCTCAGTGTCTGCAGTGGCTGCATGGGTGGGATGTCCACAGGGAGAGAGGCAGTGGAGAAAGCTGTGCAGTTTGTGCACTGCTTGGGCAGGGCGGTAAATCTCTCTTCTTGCTGAGTGCCCAGAGATGCTTGGATGGTCCGGGAGAAGCTTGGGCTGCTGCATTTTGGGGACAGCAAAAGGCAGGCATATGATGTCCCCTTCCTCTGGGCTCCCTGGGAGGGCACAGTCGGTGCCCTAGGGCTTTGGGGAGGGTGTTTGGGGTCAGCCCGGGAAGGGCTGGCAGGTCCTGGGTGCAGTGGGAGCCCATGGCCATGGTGCCAACCGGCCACCAGCAGCTTTGCAGGGTGGCTGCGGGTTTTTGCTGCTCTAGCAGGCTGGGGTTGTGTAGGGCAAGAGAAGAAGCCTCCACATCGCTCACCTCCCTGCTCCTGCATCCCAGCAAAGCCCAGGCTGTCTGCGGTGACCCTTGGCCTCCTGGATGGGCCAAATCCATCCATTCCAGTGTGGAAACGCTCTTGTGGTACCATTTCCAGCAGGAGGAGGTCTCCTCACAGCGAGCGGGCAGCCAGCAGGGATCTGGTGGGGTATTTTGGGTAAGATTGTGCAGGGAATTGTTGAAATGCTTTGATTTGATGATGATGATGATTATTATTTTTTCCCCACTGAGACATTTTTGGAATAGCTTGTTTTTGCCAAATTCCCAGCTTACAGCCTTGCAGCCCAAGCTGGAATAAAGCCACAAGTCAAAAGCTGGGCATTTCTCAAGCAGATGTTTTCTCCGGTCCTGTGGGAGAGGAGTCTAACCAGCCTCCTGTCCCCTTCGGAGTCCTCCCAGTAAAGGTGACTGGGGCAGCAGCTCTGGCTGGGGATCCCAAGCTACCTTCCACAAGATGCGCTGGGACTGGGAGAAGTTAAAATACCGGCCGGGGCTGCTGGGAGGCTGGGGAAGGGCTCCAGGTGGGCAGCAGAGCCTGGCTGTGTGGTTGGGAGGAGATGCCCTGAGTGTCCCCGCTTTCCCCGGCCCTGCTTGCACCAGCACGGGGAGCCAGGGGCCATGTCTGGCTTCTCCCAGCCGCTTTGAAGCATTGCTGGTTTAGCTAGGACAAGCAAAAGTCACAAGCTGCTGGTGTGTCTGGAGCAAGGATGGAGGTTTACATGTCTGCAGGGGTCAGGGATGGGTCTGGATGTGGTCTGAAGGGTCTTTTAGTGGTGATTGAGGTTATTATGGTTTTTCTGTAAAGTGTTTGTGGAGGTTGTCCTGCCAAGTTCTTGCATCCTTGTGGTGCTGTTCCCACAAATCTGCAGTTTTCCCGTAGCCTCGTCTCCCTTGTGGTCAGGATAAATTAGGTGACTCCATCTTTGATGGGTGAGAAGATGCAGGTGGTGGGAGGAAGCCCTGCTGTCTGTGGGGAAGGGGAAGCTGCCTCCTGCCATCCTGTTCTTCTCTATTTATTGTGCTTTCCTGCCCTGTCCCATGCAGAAGCCTGCAGGGAGGAGGGCAGAGCATTGAGAAGGCTCCCACACCCTTGCCAGCTCCTGGGAACGTGCTTGGGGTTGCCATGCCCAGGGCAGGAGGGATGATGGGTCAGCCCTGGGTTTTTGGGGATGGCACAGGGACTCCCACAGGGCAGAGCCATGCTCAGGTCACGGGGCCAGCACAGTGGGTGTGCGTGGCTCTGTGCAAGCCGCACTCATGGTCATGCAGGCGCAGCCCTTGGTGGGGCTGTGGGGAAGCTCGTGGTTGGGGGCTGCAGCCATGCAGCCTGCCCATCCTGGGGCTGCAAGTGGGGCACCCGAGCTGGACAGAGCCCACTGCATCCAGGCTGGGCATCAGTGCGGGGCAGGCCTCACCCCCACCGCCCAAACTTCAGCCCCACCCTGTTGCTTTTCTGCAGCCTGTGTTTAACAGACTCTCTTGGTTTTTCCTGGTGCTTTTTTAATCACTGCCATCATTCTGTCACTTTTTTCCCATATGCCCTTCTTCCCCCTTGCCTGTCACTCCCTGCTGCCTTTGATCCCCAATGCCCCTCAACCTCCAGCCAGACCCTGTTTGCATTCAGGTGGCTCTGAAGTTATTTTGGCTTGCTGGCTGCCCTGCCCGATTTAAGTTTAAAGCATCTAGTATGTGGATGGGTGGCCCCAATACCAAGAGCTTGCCCAAATGGAGCCACAGGCAGGGGCTGGTAGCAGGAGCCCTCCTGGCTCGGGTCCAGCTGCAGGGCTGGGGGCTGTGGGGGCTGCACCTCTTCCCGGTGGGGCTCTGTGCTGGCTCACCTTCCCCCCAACCCCAGCATCTGCAGGCAGGAGAGGGGCCAGCTGGGGGGGGGTTCCTGGCTTCACACTGAGTGTGTTTTGGTTCTCTTGCAGGGAAGGTGACTGGTGGCTGGCTCATTCCCTCACTACAGGACAGACGGGCTACATCCCCAGTAACTATGTTGCGCCCTCAGACTCCATCCAGGCTGAAGAGTAATTGCCATCTTTTAGACAATTTAAAGACGAGCGACAGCAAATGCACCCTGAGCACTCCTCCCTCCTCCTGCCCGTCTCCTGGGCAAAGCCTGCAAGGCCTCTGGGTTTTTCCTTTTTGTTATTTTTCCCCTTTGAATTCATACACCCCTTAAATGTTTTCCAGCCTTCTTTAAGGCCCATAAAGTGTGGAGGTGTGGCATGCTTGCGTGGTGGAGGGATGAGCAGTGGCATAGCAGGGGCCATGGTGGACCTGATGCTTTTGATCTGGTTTTTACTCTTCCGCATGGACATGCATCCATGTGCGAGGATGCTTCTGGCACCACCTGTGTGGATCAGGCTGAGCTCAGAGTTGACTGTCACATAGGGAGAGCAGGCAGAGGCAAAGCCGGCTGTAAGTCCCAGAGCAGGAGGTCACAGCTACGTCCCTGCAGCCCGTCCCCAGCCAGTGGCACAGCATCCCCCCCAGCAAGAGGTCAGGGGGCTTCAGGGGTCCCTGGAGCCCCTCATTTGAGGAGGCTTTTGGAGCAAAGGCATTTCACAGTCTGTGGTGCAGGGTTGCTCCTCAGCTGATGCCCAGCCTGGGCTGTATGGGGGCATGGCACACCCACGCCCCAGGGTGCCCAAGCCTGGAGGCACAGCCCATGGTCTCTGAAACCTGCAGCGTGGGGGGCCAGGGCTGAGCCTGCTGCTTGAACAGGCAATGGAGGGGGTGGGCGAGTGCTGGGTGCTGAGCTGCTGCCTTGCTCTTGCAGGTGGTATTTTGGGAAGATCACTCGCCGGGAGTCCGAGCGGCTGCTGCTCAACCCCGAAAACCCCCGAGGGACCTTCCTGGTCCGGGAGAGCGAGACCACAAAAGGTGAGGGGGCTGGGGGGGGGACAGCCTGGGGGAGCCCCACTCCAGGGAGTGGGCAGGCATCCGCACGGGAACCCTGGTCCCCTTGGTCACTGCACAGTCCTGGTTCCCCCAGCTTAGGTGCATGGGGAGGGAGAAGGAGAAAAGAGTCGTACCTTGTAGACAGGAGCCAATGTTCAGGGTCACTGAGTGATGCTCCTCAGCATGGGAAGTCTCCTGGGGTCTCGCTGGTCCCCAGGGAGCAGGTGCTGACGCACCCATTAAATCACCAGTGACATCTCTATGCTGAACACACCGTTACAACAACAAGCCTCCCCACCCTGTGGAGGGATGTGGCCACTTCTCTCCGGTGCTGCCTGCCCAGTGGTCGCCGTTCAAAGAGACGGTTCAGCTCATGGCAGGTTGGGAGTCAGGTGTCCCACCAGCTCTGGCAGGACCATCAGGCAGGATGCTCTTTCTCCCTGGGTTTTGGGTTTTTTTCCTTACACTCCCAAGTAGGTGGTTTTTGTTTTTTCCTGGTCCCTATATGGTGGCAAAGTCTAGAACATATGCTTCCTGGGCAACCAGGCAGAGGTAGTGATGAATCTTTAGGTCCTTCTTCCAAGTCTAGCAACTCCTTATACTTGTTTTTTACCTCCCAAAAGTGCTCCTTATACTTGTTTTTTATCTCCCGAAAGTGCAAGTTGTGATCTTCACGGTTTGGCTGCCTGAGGATGCTGTTTCCTACCTGGAAATGTGGTTTAGTTTGGCTTCAAATATACCTTTGGGAAAAGATCCTTGTGTTCCTTTCTGTTGTGATGCCTTGAACTTGCCACTATTTATTTTATTCTGGTAGAAACAGCTCATTCAAGCAGTGGCATAAATCATCCTTTCTGTTATTTGTGGCCCCAGCAGCACGGTGTTGCTCTTGTGTGGGCAGAGCAGAGACAAGCTCCCAAAGTGATGCCCACAGTGAGATTTGTGGAGGAGGGAATCGGGCCCACCAGCCCCTTGGCTCCCCTCTGAGATGCCGAGATGTTGGGGTTGTGGGTTAGCAGCTCCCTGCAGCCTGCCTCCTGTCTGGTCCTCTCCCCTGCTTTGGTGTCCCCTCTTTGCCATCAGAACCATGCTCATCCCTGTGCCCTGGGGACTGCTCACCCTCCCACCCACTGGACCCCCCCAAACCCAGTGGGGTCTATTCCTCAGTGCCAGCCTGGGGTGCACAGTCCATCCCTGTGGTGCTGGCTCCTCTGAGACATGGTGGCCCCTGTGTGTCCCGGCCAAGAGCAGCAGTTCGTTGTGGAGGAAGCAGTAGTGGTGCTGTGCACCATGTGTTGCCAGAGAGAAGGACCTGGCAGGTCTGTGTGGGGCTGGAGGGGATGATGCCCCTTGTTAGCACATCCCGTGGGGATGCTGAGCTGGCTCTCGGCTGCTGGGGCTGGAGGAGCAGTGGGGATCACCTGTGCCCAGATGACTGACCTGACAGCTGCCTCCTTCCTCAGTAGGGGGTCTCCCAGAGACCCTCCACCTCCATGCTGGCCCAGCTGGTGACAAGGCTTGGCAGAGCTGCCATGCAAGTGGGGGCAGCTGGATGTTATGATTACGTGGCATGGCTGTAGCTGGGGGTACAGGCCATCCCTCCCTGGCACAAAGTGCCAGCTCATGCAGCCAGGAGCTGCTCCCCATCCTCTGCTTTTGGGTGAAAGCAGCAGCCTGCATGCCCAATCCTTCTGCTCCACACCCACCCCCCCAGCAAGACCCCATGGGGAGCACCACTTTGCGGTGCATCTCCCCCCCAGCCCTGTGGTCCTGCCCACAGGTGCCTACTGCCTCTCTGTCTCTGACTTCGACAACGCCAAGGGACTCAACGTGAAGCACTACAAGATCCGCAAGCTGGACAGTGGCGGCTTCTACATCACCTCCCGTACACAGTTCAACAGCCTGCAGCAGTTGGTGGCCTATTACTCCAGTGGGTAGCCACTTGGGGTCCCCTTGGGGTCTGGGTGACACCCTGGGTGCTGTGCCTGTCCTCATGGGGCTGGGGTACCCCAGACCAGTTGCGGGGGGGGGCCCTGGTGAAAAGCTGCTTGGGTTTTAGGGAAGAGGGTGAGGGCTACAGGTCCCTGAGGTGTTTTGCGGGGAAGATGTGCGGTAAAGACATCATGTGCCTAAATGCCCAAGTGTCACCCTGGTGTTGTGCCCTCCTCTGCTAGAACACGCTGACGGCTTGTGCCACCGTCTCACGAATGTCTGCCCCACTTCCAAGCCCCAGACCCAAGGCCTTGCCAAAGATGCCTGGGAAATCCCCCGGGAATCGCTGCGGCTGGAGGTGAAGCTGGGGCAGGGCTGCTTTGGAGAGGTGTGGATGGGTAAGGACCACTCCTGACCAGCTGTCCCCCCGTGTCACCACCTGCATCCACTCCCCAGCCATCTGCAGGTGCCCAGAGCCTGCAGTGGGGTGGGGGAGCAGGCAAGGGACACGGCCCCCTGCCCTGTAAATGTGTCCTGAGCAGTGTGTCCTGTGCTGCAGGGACCTGGAATGGCACCACCCGGGTGGCGATCAAGACACTGAAGCCTGGCACCATGTCCCCGGAGGCCTTCCTGCAGGAAGCCCAGGTCATGAAGAAGCTCCGTCATGAGAAGCTGGTTCAGCTCTACGCTGTGGTTTCAGAGGAGCCCATTTACATCGTCACTGAGTACATGAGCAAGGGTGAGTGTGGGAGGGATGCCAGCGGGGCGGCCAAGGGGCTCTGCTCCTCCAGGTTGCCATGACTGTGGTCTTCCTCGCAGGGAGCCTCCTGGACTTCCTGAAGGGTGAGATGGGCAAGTACCTGCGGCTGCCCCAGCTCGTGGATATGGCGGCTCAGGTGGGTTTATTCCTCCCCAGGCCTCCTGCATCTCCCTCCAAGGGCAGTGGCTGCCCAAGCACCTTGCTGGGCTGTTGTGGCTGTTGCCTGTCGGGTGGTGGAGTGCTCCACAGCCTCGCTCAGCTTGCGTTGGGTGCCGCCATCCCCACTGGGTGCTCAGGCCAGAGCTGGGTTGCAGTCAGGGATCATCATTTTGCCCGTTCTCATTGCTGCCAGCTCTCCCTGGCCAGCAAACCTGTGTCTTTGTGGGTTTTCTTGAGCAACTGGCAGCTCCCGCACCGTGGGTTGGGTCCCACTGTGGAGCCGTTCTTCTCGGTGGTGCCAGGCGCTCCTTGGGGACCCTCATGTCACCCCACCAGCCTCAGTGCCCCAATGTCCTGGTCCCCGCAGATAGCATCTGGCATGGCCTATGTGGAGAGGATGAACTACGTCCACCGGGACCTCCGGGCAGCCAATATCCTCGTGGGGGAGAACCTGGTGTGCAAAGTGGCTGACTTTGGCTTGGCGCGCCTCATCGAGGACAACGAGTACACCGCTCGGCAAGGTGTGTGCCTGGGGCTGCTGGCACCGTGCCCAGGCAGGTGGCACTATAGCAGTGGCCGCTCCATGGTTCCCAGTCCCCAGGGGTATACGTTGCATCTTGAGCCAACACATGGCTCTGGCTGCACAGGGGTCCTGGAAGTACTCACAGCCCATGTGCCCTCGGGCACCATGGGGCCAGGAACAGCCCCGCCCCCTGCCTCTCCATCCAGGCGCAAAGTTCCCCATCAAGTGGACGGCCCCTGAAGCTGCTCTGTACGGAAGGTTTACCATCAAGTCGGATGTCTGGTCCTTCGGCATCCTCTTGACCGAGCTTACCACCAAGGGCAGAGTGCCATACCCAGGTGAGGGCTGGCACACGCTGGCAGAAACCCCATTCCCATCGTGGTGCCCTGATGCCAGCCACCCTTGCCCAGCGCTCGCCCCTGGCACTCCGTGGCCCCCAGAGCCATCTTTGTGGAGGAGCAAACTGATGCAAAGTTTCTCCTGTGATTTGGGCAGGGAGGTTGGGCTTGGGGGTGAGCTGTCTCTGCCCAGGTTGGACCCTGCCCTGCTGGGGCAGGGTGAGCAGAGCCCAGCCAGGATGCAGGGTCACAGCTGCCCCGTCCTGCTCTGGTCTCTGAGCAAGGTGCCAGGCTGGCGGTCATGAGCACTGTTGGGCCAGGGGTCCCTCTTCCCCTGGGGCAAGTCACTGCAGCTGCCTGTAAGGCTTGTCCGAGCATGATGCTCTTGGTGTCCCCTCTGGGAAAGGTGTGGTGCAGGATCTGACCCATCACTCAGTGCCGTATCTCTGGCCGCATGCAGGGATGGTGAACCGGGAGGTGCTGGACCAGGTGGAGCGGGGGTACCGCATGCCCTGCCCCCCCGAGTGCCCCGAGTCCCTGCATGACCTCATGTGCCAGTGCTGGCGGAAGGACCCTGAATAGCGACCCACCCTCGGGTACCTGCAGGCTTTCCTGGAGGACTACTTCACCTCGACAGAGCCCCAGTACCAGCCTGGCGAGAACCTATAGACCTGGAGCTCCTCCTGGCACCAGGGACACTGCCATCCTCATCGCGGGGCACCAAGGGCTGGCCTCCCCGCAGAGGGGCCTTTTTTTTGTGGAGCAGCCCCAGAGCTGGATGGGGCATTGTCCCCGGATGCAGCCAGGGGAAGTGCTGGGTTCCCCTGTCGCTCATTAAGACTTCTGGCCCGTGTTTAATGAAGTGGCGCCATCCTACTGGCAAGAGGAGCCTCTGAGCGCCCGCGGAGCCAGCTCAGGAGGGCAGGCGGAGCATCTCCCACGGAGAGACTTGGCTTTTGGGAGACCTTTGCCCCCCAGCAGCTCTGGCGTGAGCCTGGAGGAATTGAGGGACAGCATCACTCCACCTCGGACACACAGCCCCCAGTCTCCTGCGCCCCCTTTCTAAATCAGCACAAATTTCCCTGCCCCTTCACCCTCCCTGCGATCCCCACCTTGGCTCCAGTTCTCCCAAGGGTGCTGGCAGAGATGTTTCTCCATGGGGAAGGCACAGTCCCTGTCTGGTTCGGATGGGGCGATGTGTCAAGGCAATGGTGCCGACATGGGGTGGCAGTGGAACGCTGGTGCTCCCCCTTCCTCAGGCCTCCCTCTGGCCTCAGTGGCTAGTGGTCGCCAGGAGCATGAAATGTGGCTGCTTATGGCTCTGGTGACCGACAGCATCCCGTGGGAGCACTGGGGTGCACATTCAAGTCTTCCAGTTGCATCTGTCCCCCAAGGGACCCGTCTTGTCTGTCCTGGGAGAGCCCTGGCCCTGCCCGCAGCCAGCCCCACCACCCTGGCTGCCCTTTCTCCCACTGAGCACTCTTGGTCTTCCAGCCAGCCCCCTGGGAAGTGCACCACAGCCCCACCCCAGCCACCCGCCCCAGCTCTGCCACCAGCTCTCCCACCAGCACAGTCCCCCAGGATAGCCCTGCTACCAAATCCAGTGCCACTGCAGGGCTTGGGTGCATGGCACATGTGGCTGTTCAGGGTATGGGAGTGTTTGGGGGGAAATACTAATCTTTCACAGATGGTTTTGTCCACCCGGTATGTTTTTACCTGCCTTTCCCCCATCCCTCACATCTCAACTGCCAAGCTCCAGTCCTCATGCAGTGGGAGCATCCCCAGCCATGGGCCACCATCCTGGAGGAGAGTCCTGGGAAGCACTGTGCTGCATGGGAGACATTTCCATCCTCATCTCCCTGCTGCTCGCTTCCAAAGGCCTCAGCTGTGTTTCAGCAGTGGGTGGCGATCCATGCCCCGTTTTGCCCCTGCACACATCCTGTGGGGCTGAACCCCGGGGCTCATGGGGTAGCACCCAGCCCCTGCTTGTACATAGCCCTCAAGCAGTCCCCGCGCCCTCCCAAACATTGACCTAGTCGCATGTGTTGGTTTTTTCCCCCTCCTGTGGCTGTACCCAGCTGGAAACCCTTTGCCATGGTAGCTTGCAAGGCTTCGTTCCCTCACCTCTCAGGACCCGGGCACCCTCGCTCAGAAAGACCTGGGGCCCTTTGGGTGCTCTCCTGGACCAGGGGTGGGATGGGGGCTCGAGAGGGTGCTGTGGGTGCTGGCATGCATCAGTGGGAAAGACCTGGAGAGGGGAGCCAGCAGCTTCACCCACCTCTCGGTCCTTGGGCTTTCTTTGCTTCCCTGTTGCTTGTGGGATGGGATTTCCCTCTAGCACAGCCTCCTTGCAGGCAGCAGACCCAAACTGCCTCTCACCAGCCCCTGCTGTGGTGCTGGTGTCCCATGAAAGCTGCGTGGGAGCCGAGCGTGGGCAGGGGAGTGGCAAAAACCCCTTCCCCAAATTTCTGCTGGAACAGGGCCTGGGCATGCTGCTGCCTCCCACGGCTCCCCAGCCACTTACTTATGAACCAAGTGCTTGCTTGGTTGGTTAGTGGTTCCTTTTTAATGAGCAAAACATTCAAAATCGGCTTGAACAGGCTCTTCAGCAGTATGGAGAGATCCTGCTGGTTTGGAGAACAGTGACTGGTTTAATGGATTTTTTTTAAATGGTTTTGGGACTCTGAGCCTTTTCTCCCCCCCTTCCTAGCAGATTTGCTGTGACTGCATTGCTAAGTTTGGGCAGGCATCCTTCAAACCTCTGTGTTATGGGTCTTTCCATGTTTGCAGTCCCTATTAGTGCTGCCAGAGAAGCCCCGTCCCATGGCAGCCAGTCCAAGGGGTGGCCTGTGCCATAGCTCTGCCTAAATTATACAAAATCCCCATCCCCAGGAGAAACCTCTTAAAACTGTAATGTGCAGAAGCCAGATTTGATCTGAAAGCTGGGGAGAGAGAAGGCAGGAGCACATGTTAAGGTTTGGCCTTTGGTTGTCTGCAGCATGCACAAGGTCTTGCACGAGCACAGCGGGAGAGGAACAGGCTTAACCCGGCGGTTTTATTTTCTGGCTCTTTCCAGCAAGTGGCAGAGCAGGAACACACCCTTGGTACAAGGAACACCCTGAGCTGGCTTAATTGTCTGACAAAGAGAATGGCAAGCTCTGACAAAGACAGTAAAGCAATACTGAAGGAGCTCCCCTGCACACACACGTCCGTGTGTCCATGCAGCAGTTTCAGTGGGACCCAGCATCTCCAGACTTGCCACTGCAGCCGGCACAACCCAGAGGCCCCACGGCTTGAGAGCCTCTCCTCTATCACCATTGTCATCTGCCAATTTATTTTTCAAGCCAATAAACTCTAGAGGGGAACCCCCACTTAAGGATGCTCTTTGGCTTCCCAGGGCCAGTAATGCCCTACAAATTACGCTCCTTTGCTGTTACCATTTTTTTAAACAGTGTTTTGTAAGATCTCCAACCGACGGCAGAGAACATGTGGCTCTGTGTCTCTCCCCCCAGTTCCCTTCTCCCCCCACCTGCCTTTTTCAGTGTCAAAGTAAAATATTCAGCTTTTTTTTTTTTTGGATAATAATAAAACTTTGGAAAAAAACCTGAACAGGTCCAGCTTTTGGGTGGTGGGGCATGGAGATGCTTTGAAACTCTAACGTTGATGTAAATACTTTGCAATTTGATAATTAAATACAAACAGACCTCACAAAAAAAAAAGTGTAGCTCATCTATGAGAAGACTTCTTAGCATCCCTATTATAGCAGTTGGTGGTTTCTGGAGCACGTGCAACGCCCATGTGTGGCTCCTGGTGCTTCAGGGGCATTTTCTGCCTGATGTTTGTGGGATCTGCTACCACTTTTGCGCTGCTGGAGCCATTCCCGTGGGCTTGTGGTCCAGCGCAGCCCCAGCGCCTGCTCCTGCAAGAGGAGCTTCATCTGTCATGTACGTCCTGCTCCGAGGGCCAGGGGCAGCTAGCTGGCAGTGGTGGGCGAGCTCCCCATGCCTGGACCACTCTGACAGGGAAGCACTGCCATGGTGGGCGCAGAATCAGGCCAACATGCTCTGAGCTGAGCTGGGATGCAGCCTGCATCGCTGGTAGGATCCCAGCTGCAGCCATCAAGGCCAGGCAGGGGACTGTGGCACATGCTGCTGGCACATGGCGTTAGCACACAGGCTCCTCCCGTGTGTTGCTGCTTCCCAGCCTCTCCATGGTGGGACACCCGGGTCCCTGCCCACACACAGGTTGCACTGGCCCCTGTGGGGCTGTGAGTGACACAGTGACCCTGGTGTGCACATTGATCTGACCAAAGCCAGGGCCAGCGGAGGTGCC